AGAGAGAGAGAGAGAGAGAGAGAGAAAATAGAAAAGACGCAAAACTACCAAAAAATAGAAAGAGACAGAGAGGAAAGAGAAGAGGACGCACGAGAGTCGTAGAGATGATCGCAGGTTTTTTGAATCTCATTGTGAAACCATAGAAACACCGTCATTCGTCTTACGCTAAATACACGATCGTTAAAAAAAAAAACGAACAGGCACGTATGTCGTATCGTCTACCGAAATCGAAATTCACGATCTCCACGGGACACTGGTAACTGCGACACCTACGGATTTTATTTTCTCCTTCGAACGAGACGCGCGTGCACGTTGCGGGTGATACACTTAATGAGAACGGAAACGAGAAACGTCAGCAGAGATCCATCGCGGTTGTTGGTTCCTCTTTTTTTCTAGGGGAGAACTGAAGAGAAAGTGATGATACAGGAAAGAAGGAAGAAGAAGAATGGGGAGAAAGAGAGACAAAGATGTGTTCGAAGCTCCCATCTAATTACCGCTGGCTTTTGATGGTGGTACATTTATGATGCATTTTACGAGGACTCGCAGACGAACGGATGACTGGTTCTGTTCGCGAGTCACGATTATCCAATCTCAACTGTACCATATTCTCCACCTCCTTGACGCCCTTAGCCCTAGACATTCATATATATATACATCTTCTTTTCTTTCCCTCCCCTTCTTTTTCTCGCCACCTTTTTTTGTTTTACTTCGTTCTGTTGTTGTTACTATTATTATTATTATTATTATTATTTCCCCCCTTCGTATTTTAATTCGCCATGGACTAGGAGAGCACAGACTGAGAAAACGAATCAAAGCGTTGATACGTTGAATAATAATCGATTCACTTGAGCCCAGCGGTCGTCTCGCTGGCAGGTTCTTACTTTTTAAGCTTAGTTTTACGGTATGGTGGTATACAGTACGTGTACCGTGCACCTATTATACACACGTGTTCGTATCGCGGACGTGCCAGTACGAGGAAATTCGTTTGTTCCTTGATCCTTTAGATCGCGGTTACCCGGGCAACATGTGCCCGCGTATAACGTACGATGAAAGAGACGGATTAATTAAGAAAGTGCACAGGTGATGAGGAACTGAGAGGAAGACCGAGCATATAAAATGATGCAGTGAGGAAACAAGGATACGTTTGATCTCGTTCGTTAAAGAAAAGAAAGGAGATAGGTGGGAAGATCAAGATTAGACTTTGGTACGGTGTTTGTTGTTCGGAAGTCTGGATATCAGGATGGCAAAGCGTATATGATAAAATCAATCGAGGAAGATAGTTTTTGGTCAGGTCTTCGTGCCCTGTTAGTAAGAGAGAGAGAGAGAGAGAGATAGCACAAAGAAGAAGAGAAGATTTCAGATTTTCAACTGTGAGAAAGTTCTCATGACAGAACGTTCGAGTTTGTGATGGATGTTTTCATTCGAGCAGTTGAAAGCGACGCGAGAACAGCAGCCCAGACGTTTATATTTTTCTCACACACGGTAGACAGGATAATACCCTAACTATGACGGAAGAAGCTTTTCGCGTCGCCTGGAATGGCGGAATGTTCGACCAGACCGGCCGAACGTATGTGAAAAACGAGTAAATACCGAAATATGCAATAGAATCGCTACGTGACGCACTCGATTTCTCTCCTTCCCGTTGTTCCGACGAATTTTCGAAGAGCCAGCCATGTTACACGCGTGAATCGCGTGTTGCCGCGTCGAATAAAAGAAACGTATAGATGATTGTTAATCCTTGTTAGCGCGTAAGAACATACATCGCATATATATTTAATATATAGCGTGTAAACAGAATACATATAAATATATGAATATATGAATATAAATATAAATGCAAATATATAAGAGGTATATATATATTAACAAAAAAGGGGAAAAAAACAGTAAAAAATAAATATATAGATATGATATGTTTTATACGCTGCATGTCATCCTTAGATGGAAATAACGTGATCATCGTAACGTGTCGTTCAGAACCGGATGATTTATTTTTTTCTTCTTTTTTTCTTTTTTTTTCTCTCTCTAGCAATTGAATGATGCACGAAAAGGAATCAGCAGGTGCTTTAGGATAGGCTTTTTACGCAAAGGGACAAACGAACAATATAACGCCACCTTATCAATCACTTGTAAAACGATTTTTCTGACCTCTCGGCAGGTCTTGTTGAAGGAGCTTGTGCCGTTGCTTCGTCCGCGAACTTCGTTGAAATTTAATCGCGATTAATCGCGAAACGAAAGCTCGCGATTGTTACGCACGACTGTCGCCTGGCGCCTCGTTCGATCGAGTTCGGCTCAAAATATGAAGTCAATCGCAGTGCCTGAACCGCCGCAAAAACTTGTAAATTATATAATCACGTAGTCGAAATTCCACGGATAATTGCTGCGTGGCGGAGGATATACAAGATTTAAAAAAAAAAAAAAAAAATTAATAAAAACGGAACAAAGACTCTCATATGTGCCAGCCATTAAGAATTTTCGGGA